ACCTTCCTTTTTCCTCCCAGATTAACAAATCACATGTAAACTAGTAGCAAAACTCTTAAATAGTCGTAGCCTACATATCGCTCAGGGCGATAGGTTAGGGTAAATAAATACAACTTAACTTAACTTAACTCAATTAATTATAGATTAGGGCATCTAGGTTAGGGTTAAGATTTAATAACATATCGAAAAGCCTAACAGGAATAGACCTAATAAGTTTTTCGCCTAAAGTAGCGGATATCTAAGCCGACTACATTTCGAATAGGATAATATTCGAGTACCTTACGAGTGCTTAATATATAGAAGAATATAGGAAAGACTTTATAGCGGAAAGAAGCAACGTTATTTTATTACTAAAGAACTTACCAGGCAGCTAGAGGGATTAAGACGACGATAGTAACATCTCTACCTTTCTAATTCTCTAAAATAACTCTATCCTAGTATATTACTTTATTCCGTTCGTCGATTACAAGTATAATAGTTAGTCTAAGCAGGCCAAGCCTAAAAATAGATGGCGCTAGATGCATGCCTTCAACGCTCTTCAAAGTCTTGATAAAGTTAAAAAAGCCGCCGCCGTAGATAATTAGAAAGCAAACAACGCCACTATAACGGGATGCTAGAGCAAAACAATCGCCGAGGAACGCTACAGAATCATGTTTAGCCGCCCAGTCGCAATCACTATTCTAATATTAAACTTTGGCAAGCTCATCTGCATACTATCAGTGTGGGGTTTGCTTCGAGACAAACTACTGGTTACCTTAGGTAATGCCATATCATCTTTCATACGCTCTCCCGACGATACCACCCGTGGATACTGTCTCGCAACGAGATACGATATTCAACGCATCTGGACGAAGGCAGTTGAAGCTCAAGAACAACCTGCTGCTATACCATACAAGCCAGTATCGCTACGTTATTACAATGGCGCAGGTAGGCGAGCCTGGTGGATGTGGTCTCTCACGTAAGAACTTTTTCGGGTTAAGACGAGATTCAGCCCTAACAAACCCAAAACAGATACGGCAGTATCCTTGGACTAGCTATCGGGTTCCTCATTAATGGGCTCATGCATTTCCGGAAGCTGGGTGAACTCAGCAATTACTTTTCTTTTCGAAAAATCACTGCCGAAAACCTGGTCATCAGTCCGGCATTCAATCAAGGGCATCCCATGACGCAGTTGGCCCTGCCATTACAGCCAACTTATCACAGCTTACCATTACCGTTCTCGCCTTTACTACCATTAATCTAATCACCCGAATGCGGCTCGCTGCTGAATGGAGCGAGTACGCCTTCCACCGTAAAGGCCTTCGCGTCTCCGACCCGAGATTACACACCCAAGAACGCGGCACATTCCTCTTTCAGCTACCGTGGCGCTTTGCGGTGCCATTACAGGGCTCATTTGGGCTTATGCACATGCTGGCGTCACAGACCTTGTTTCCCGTATTTATTGAGCCTTCAAACGACTTTGGGGATCCAATCCCACATCCACCGTTGTCCATATGCGCGCTAAACCCGATCGCAATGATGACTACATTCGTAGTTGGCGTGTGCATCAGTGTGGCGACGCTTGCGCTATCAATGAAAAGATTGAAGCCGGGTATGCCGCTGGTTGGGAGTTGCAGCGCCGCAATTTTAGCTGCGTGCCATCCTCCAAAATCATCGGATGGTAACTTCGACGAGACGAAGCCCTTACAATGGGGCGCCATACCGCAGGGGCTTCTGGAAAATGAGGAGGAAGGATCGCGTATTGGACACTGTTGCTTTACCAATGGTCCCGTAGAGATGCCGGTACCAGGCGAACGATATGCATAGTTTGTTCTCTTAGCTCGCTTCCTAGATCACTTTCTCTCCCTCCTCCATCTCAAGAAGTACCTGTCAAGCAAACTGGGGTTTATCCTGAAACGAGAGGAAAAGATCGGCCGTACATAAGAATGTTTGTAATTTAAATATCTTTATATTTCGAGACACTTCCTTGTACGTTGCAAACATCAAACAACAAACACATACTTGTTTAGCCGGTCGATTCCAGTTTCTTTCTGTCTATTCAAGTACCTAAGCGCCTAAGTGATCTCAAAGATGTCAAGCAGGAGGCTCATACTCTTACGAACAGCTTGCACAAAAAACATCAACCCCTAAACGTGTGTACATCCACTCCGGCTCAAACGGCAGCTCTTCAGCTTCGTAGAGAAACAATTAATCATGTATTTGAGATAAGAGACTTTGTAAAAACGCATGAGCACCCGAGACATTAAAACCAAGACAATTCGCTACACAAGAGCGACGTTAAGATTCTCCTTTGCGACCGATCACTGCCAATAACTTCCTCAAGGGGGAATATCCACAGTAGACTCGTTGATAAAGTCCTCCATCTCCTTCATCTGCTGCTCATGGATCAGTTCCTTCGAGCGCTGCCACATGGAGCGGTTAAAGCCCGCCTCGTAGTCATTGTAGTCGATAGTGCAGCGGACCCAAGACGAAGTTTGCTTTGCCCTTGAGACCTGGCGCATGCTCTGGGTGACGGCGAAACTGACCAGGCGAACGACTGCAAAGACAAGCGTGCATTGTCAGAAGAAGAGTTTCAAAGTTGTTCAAAGAAAAGACGTTTGAAGGGAGCAGGCAGCTTACAAGATCTGACCGTGTCGGACTGGCGGATGTACTCGTACCGCTCGCACGCAATCATTTTGTTCATTGCCTCTCCGGAACTCTGCTCGATTGTTTTGGTCATGCTCTTCAGGACTGTCTCCAGGGCTTCAATGGTTCGTGCATTCACGCCCACAAACCCAGCCAAGACGGCCCTAATGAGCTCGCCGTGAAACTCTTCGACGCGGCATTCGATAATCTTGGAATGGTTGACATCTCGGCTGATTGAAAGCCTATGTAATTGTGCATTTAGTGATTCTGTCCGGGAAGGGGGAAAAGCCGGAGTGGTTTTCCTACGTACCATGGCGTGGTCTTCATGTGGTGCACGCCGACTCTGGCGCAATAAGCACTTCGTCGGATACGGGACTGCATGCTGGAGTCTTGCGGCATGTCGGGATGACTGAAGACGGTGCGCCACCAGATCAGGCTTGCCCAGCTACGGTAGTCCTTGATGTCTTGCATGTATTCCGCCAGCCGCTGCTGCATCGAAGTGGAAGGCTGGTCGGGGAAGTTGCAGAACCAGATGGACGGGAAGCTATCCCATTCCTCTTTGGCCTTTTCAGCAATTTCCTTGTCTGAAAGAGTAGACCTGCCAGCAGCTTCCATGATGCCATCGTAGGTCATGGGCGGCTGGGGCCCGAGACCTGGGTTCAGGTCGACGAGTTTGCCGAGGTCAACGGGTTCGGGCATGATTATGGATTGGGGAAAGAGGAATGTTGCCTCTGCTTTCGACTTTGCAAGGTTGGAACTCGTTGTGAGATGAGAAGATGGTTTGAGATGGAGGAGCAGGGCAGAGCGTCTGGTGAACTTTATAGACTTCGACTGCACTACCATGCCAACAATCAAGTCTCCTCACGGGAAACTTGGCATTAACTGACTAGTTAGCTACTCGTCAGGTTTTCTTCTGTAAGAGGTGATGCAAAGTAACACGAACCGGGAAGAGAGCGGGGGAAATTTATAATATGCCACCGAGCTTTGGGACAGACTATTGCCTTGCCATACCGGCAATCGATGCGGGGTCCATGATGTTGCGTGAAGCTGCGTTCATGCCGCACAAACCCCTCATGCAGATAACCCTAATAGAGATACTGCGAAACATTCCGATCCGGTGCATAGCTGCGTATAAGGGGAAGGAGGAGAAAGCCCCTCCCGTAGCGTAGTACGAAGGTAGCAAAGATATTTCTGCTCCGCTCTGAATTTTTGTCATAACTGAGGGGTCGTTTGTCCCACATGGCAAGACAGCGGGTTTGTGATTAGACTTATAGCCCCCGAATCGCTGATGTGTTCCAAGCCAGAACTTACCCCAAGAAGCTCCATCTTCTACCCAGCATGACCTCCATCGTTGCGCAGGACCAACCAAGCGTAGAAGTTGCCGACAATCTTGTCCGCAGCGTCAAGGAAGGAAATGACCCTCAATCAATCTTCTATCTCAATCCCATCTCAGCAGAGAATCCTGCTACCCGCCTGGTGGGCCTCTGGACCACGCTCCACTTTTGGGCGACCAGAATCGAAAACACAGTCTCGAGCAACCTTGGATTTGACGACAAAGGCCTTCAGGCAAGCTGGGATCGAGCTGCATATCGTCCCCGATTATTAGATCACCTGGCTAGAATCACTCCTTGGTGAGCAACGCCGACGCCCATTTGTAGCTAACCGTGATTAATATCTCGCTTCCAGGATGATGAATGTTCGAGATTTCTCCGAGGCAGGCCAAAATGTAAAGCTCACTGGTGAATACCATCACGACAAGCTTGTCTACCAGCTTGCTATCCGACGATTTCTTGGACCAAGTCTCCCCGAAGGCTTGGAAGAGAGGATGCGGATCGTTGAGAGATACATGGCAGAGACGTTGGTGCTCGGCCAAGACCAACTGACCAAAGTACGTCGGTTCGGGTTGACTTTTCCGATGACGTTACGCCAGGGTCCTTTGGATACACAAGGTTGGTGCTTGTACTCCAGTGGCAGGGCGTAAATGTGGCTGCTAATGCTTTCTCGCAAAGTGATCCGCGTAATGATGATCAGCTTTGAACAGGACGTGGATGGTGACGGAAAGACGTTGGTGATATCGAAGGCGGGTTATGATGCGGGACTTAACACTAGCTTGTTCGATCAGCAGAGGTTCGATCAGGCCATTCTAGACCGTGGAAGGGCGATTGTGACGGATTCCACTTTTGATGTTATTGTCTAAGTATTTGCAAGCATCCACGCTGTCTATCGGGACCGTTACGAGCTAGTACCAATTAATCATGGGTTGAAGTGGAATCATTAATCGATTCTATAGGATGTAAGCAGAGCTTTTGCGTGATGTTGTGACTTGTTACGTGGGACGGAGAAAGTTGAAAGTTATTGATTGAAATTGCTCTCTAACTGGACTTGGTTTTCGACCATGCTTGTGAAGACATTGCTTGTGAAAAGTCACATGCTAACCAACCTGACCTGAGCGAAACCAGTTGCAGGTCACGCCGCTATGACAGTTGACAGGGCAAGGAAGCGTGCGGGCATATGAGCGGCAAAAAGATTTGGATGGCAGGATAGAAAGAAGAGGAGGGCGCGCCTTCCCTCGCGATGTTGGTGCTGTAGCCTGTGATCCCCCCACCTTTGATCTCGTTTCGTTGCACTGCTGCTGCAGGGCAGCATCTGCAGATCCCCCTCAAGCCAAGAAGCCCCCCGACGGGTACAGAACACGACGATGGTGCGAGGTGGCACCAGCGAAGTTGCAAGCGCGGGGTGCGGCAGGGCAGCCTGGCGGGTGCAGGGAGCTCAATTTTCGCCGTACAGCCTCGAGCATCTCCGGCCTCGAGCAGCCTTTCACGGCGCCAGCAACGATGCACTTCATCGACACGTCGACTTGGAGCGGCAGGCAAGCCAATGCCGACTTCCGCCTCCGCTACTGCCATGATCAGGACCTGATGCGACGACGACGACACCAGCCTTGACCTTCTCGCGCCATGGCGGGCGGCACCTAACCATCTCCGCAGCTCCGCATCTCTGCATATCCACTGACAACTTGCTTCCAGCCCGACTGCAGCACACTCCGATCCGATAACTTCTTTGACCTCTGGTCCTGCTCCTGCCAGCCAATGGCGACGACGCAGCCGTCGACCTCCAGCCTGGCGCCGGCTGGTTCCGACGCGACCGCAGCAACGTCATCGGCCTAAGGATCTCCCTCTTCGACCATGACAGCAGCTCTTGGCCAGCCGCATGGTTGACGGCAGCATGCCATGACAGCCACATACGCCCTCTGCTCCTCCGGCGGCTCCGACACAGTCTCCGAGATCGCTGCAGGTCTTCCGCGGCTTGGAATACATTGGCATACACACTGGGAGTGGGAGTCATGCTTGGGTCACACGGCTGCGAAAAGACTCGATGTCAGCCGGACGGCGAGGGCGGCGTGCAGCACAGATCGTCTTCCTCCAAATGCTTTGGGCATCGGAAGGCAATGATCTTGGACAGCAACGCGCAACCACCTCTCTCCGGCCAGCGGCACGCTCTCGTTTGTCGTGCCACATGCCCTCTCCGACACAACATCACGCAATGGTAATGCCAGTCTAGCTTAGGACGTCGACGATAATGGCACTTGAAGTCGCTATGCTAGGAGCAGGGTGGGAGCCTGGCGTCAGGCTTTGGTTTTGACTCACTGATCTTCTGCCCCGCCGGCAGCAGGACGGCGGTCTGGCATACGACACCGGCTCCAGCATCATCAGCAGGTGCCGTCGCTAACTTAAAACAGGACGTTTTGGCAACGGTCGCAGTATCCGTTCTCACCTCGCACCCACACCTCAGTCCTCGCCGACCGCGTCTTCTTTCGGTCGGTTGGACTCCTACATTCCCGACGACCCTGCGCCACGTCATGCTTCCGACTGTGGTGGGTGGCACTCTGCAAATGTGTTGAGACACTGGCAAAGCAAACTGTTCCGACCCTGTGGAGACACCAGCGGTCGCTTCTGATGCTGCTCGGGTCTTCTACCAACTTTTCAGTGGAAAGGGTGCCCCTGATGAATGTTCAACCTGAATACTGGAATATCCAGATGGCGGAGGATTGCGATCAAGGATACTGACTTTGGAGATTCACCATTGGGAAATTCTTTTCAAGCCAATCAACTCGGCGCTGAGAGAGGATAAGACGTAAGTAGATATCACCCGCCCTGGACGGTCTCGCGAGCAACATTGCTTACGTTGATAATCTGATACTGACAAGTACAAACTCCATTCAGGCTTCATTAAGTACCTTTGCATATTTGCTTCTCTGCAGCAGATGTTCTAAGTCCTGCAAACTGCTTTATAATCACAAAGAGCCCATATGCGTCCTCACTGTAGTGTTTTTAGACAGATCTGCTTGGCGAAGGATCCCCCCCGGTTGTATGCGACGGTGGACGTGGATGTCGAATGCTATGTGTTGTATGTTTGGTACAGGAGTAGAACACTGGTGCGTTGGAGCGACAACGGAGCAGGGGTATGTATACAAAGCAGAAACGCATTTTGATTATAGAAATAAAGGAAGGCTTGAATAAAGAGTTGATGTTTTACAAAGGCGGAGCCATTCAAACAACTCCTATCTCAGACACATACAACGTTTCTTTGGTGACAGATCTCTCGTGTAAAATCAAACCAAAGGAAACTCTTGAAGTTTATACTGACCTTCTCGTAAACCCTTCATGGCCTCACCATACATGAGGCCATGAACATCTATGAGTTTTAATTAGCTGACCGGGATCTCTTGAGGACTTCAAAAACATCGTAGACTTACACGCCTCGGCAATGAATACTTCCCCGTTTAGCACTTTCTTCAAAATAATCGGCTTCGTTCCACCTTTAACAACCACCACGCGTGCACCAGGCTCGACTCCTTCCCTATCCATGCAAGTGCCAATAAAACCTCTCCTTGTTAGAAAAAATATGAGGTTCTTCGAAATCGCACTTAGGAGCCGTAAAGGGATGGAATCTATAAAGTCTGGGGCATTTGCAGATGCTGGTGCCACATTTGTTCTGTTGCGATATCTTTTCCAAGCCATGAAGTTGTATACGTGTTCCTCAACGGTGGCACTCTCCACTTCAAGAACATAATCGAAAATTGTGCTCATAAAAGCGGTCACAAGATCACCGCCCCCGACATATTGTTCTCTCTCGTCGTAAGCGTCCCAGGTTGCTGTTTCCCATTTATCGAATGTTTCATAATATGCCGAGGAATTTATTAGAGAATCCGGTATTGGTTGCAGGGCCACTGAAATAGTATCCACTTCCACGCCGTGTAGGACAAGCACTCTCCGATTCGAAATTAAGTTGTAGATTGCTGGACAATCGCCGCACGCGTAAAACTGAATTGAATCATCATTTTTTTGAAGTGGATCAAAAATGGAAGGGGACTTTCGATCCATTCTTAAATCCGGAATTTCTGGTAAATCCCATCTCGGAACCCAAGAAGGGATGCCGAGTAATGGCTTTGGAGAAGCTCCACTGCGGTATAGGAACACGAAATGTCCAGTTCGCTTCGCAAGAGCGATTGCCAAGTCTATGTAGACGTCTATAGTCGACTTGTCGTAATCTGGCTTAAGACTCGGAATTTCGTCGCGAATAAGGGCGAGTGGGGCGTATACTCGATCTCGGTCTTCGCTAGCATCACGCCCGGAAAGGCTACCCAAAGTCCAGAGTAGCTTATCGACAGATTCCCATATAGATTTGTGCCACCTGACTCGATAATCGCGTAGATTACTGCTGACAGGGGAGATGTGTGGGCGTCCTATGTTTTTCATGTCGTTGTCCATGTCGTTGTTTATCTTGAGAAGCCATAGCTGTATTATTTGTTGAGCGCGATCAAATACCTCCCAGTTTATTCGTTTTGTACCGCAGAGTAACTCCAGGTCAGACGCTAGTACAACTTCCTGGAATACCCATAATCGCTTCCACCACGAACGGCTATCCATGCATTTGATAGCCTCCTTAAGGCATCCAAAGGCTGGTAAGATTCTTACCGAGTAGGTGTCGAGAAGTTGATCCACAACAGTTTGAAGTTCTGAGTTTCGTTTTCTTCCAACTGTGATATAGCTGTCAAAGATGCGACCCCAATCGTGTGGGCCAATTTCCAAAGAAAGCTCGTCTTTTCCTAGATCCTGCCAAAAGTCGATAACTAAATCGGAATCTTCGGCGGCTGGACCCAACCATACTAGGACTTTCTTCGCGGCAGAATATATTTGACCCATCATTTCCACCTGACTGTTACGCTCTGGGATATCGTTTTGGTTAATGCAAATCGCATCAATCCAAATTTTGATTTCTTCGTCTCGCCTGCGAATTTGATGGAGCGCCGATGAAAGATTCTCCCCGACGGGGAACCGATAACCATCCAACGAGATTGATTTCTTCGAGTCTTGTTTGCCCCATGTGTATGACAAGCAAAGATAATTGGGTCGATTCTCTAAACTTCTCGTTACAAGTCGGCCACGAACGGGGGAGTCTAGAGAGCCATTGTTTGGGCTGAGTACCAAAATACGAATCTCTTGTTTCTGGGGGTTTAAACGACAATATTGGAAGTCCGTCACCATAATTGACGCACGTTCCAGCTTTACGCTAAGCGCTTGCGATTGGATCCGTTTCAGAAGACGGTAATGATGGCGGACCTCCTGCGTATCTAGCTGGTTACAGCATATGAAGTCCACCCAGAGATAAGTAGATCTGTCGTCACTTCGACACTGCTCCAACGCTTTCCCCAAATGGCTTGGTCCGAGAAACAAGTGCCTGTCGATTATGATTTGAGCAGTTTCATTTCTTTTCAAAGTCTTAGGTCCAAGAAATTTGAGAACGGTGTATTCAGGAACATTCAAATCATTGAGCGAAATATGATGTAGACGGTATTGTGGCTCGGCTTGGGTCAGTGGCTGCTCCTTCCTTGACGGTAGTCCCAGTAAGCGTATTGATTCGTATGCTTCAGACAGTGAAAGAGGCCTGTAATACTGGAATGCAGCGTTCTGAGCCATAGCGAGAGGTCGGTAATATACCGTTGCCTTTCCGGAAGGAAATCTGGGGCCAAAAGACATCCCAATGATAGAAACCACATAGTCAATGTTTGCCGTTAAGGACCTCGGTGATATACGTTCAACGCTGGATGGAACCCAAAAAAGATATCGTTCCACGCTGCGCCTTAACTCTCGTAACGTATCAGCTGTTGTTTGGTGTACCCGAACTTGTTGGCCATCTAGTTTGATACTGCTGTCTAGTGTGCTGCTTCGGATCTCGTTGATACGATTGTCCTGAAACACCATGATGTTATGTGTGTTGGTATTGCAGATATTGGTCTCGGTCAAAGTGCTGTCTTTGAAAACAATGGTAAACCGCGGATAGCCTGAAGGTAGGATGTTGACTGTTTTACAGTCAATGATGGCGTTGGGATCCCTCGATGGCCTTAATAGAACCAATGTCTTAGGTGGTTTGCAGCTAGGCCATTCGATGATTTTGTGATGCGATGGTGTGGGATAGATTTTGAAACCCGCCTCTCGATTCCCGCAGCGGCAATAATCCCAGGCTGCAATGAACTCTGCCCGATCGATGATTTGGCGCAATATGTGATTGTTTCTGTACATGCCAGTCTCTCGTCCGAGAACCCCTCCTGGTAGGATGTATCTTGGTTCGTCTACATATCGAAGTTGTTCCAATGCTTTGTGGACAGCCGAAGGCACTGAGAAAACATTTCCGTTCAATTCAATAGGGGTTTCGTTTCCATCGCTGATGCTCTCAGGGGGTTCATCAAGGGCGGTGAACTTTGGGAGTCGGTCGAGTTCTGCAAGGTAGGTACGACATAAAATTGGTGAAAAGGAGAATGTTGAACAGGGCAATAATTTTATCAGAAATGCAATTTGTGTTTCCATGATCTTTTCTGTTGGGAGAATGTGCGCGGTTGAGCATAATATGTGAAGTTGATAGCATGTGAAAAATATATTTTTGGTTAGAATACGAGCTGATGTTGATCTATGTCTGCACTGCTGCCCGAAAGCAAGCAAAACCAATAGAATAAGAACACGCTTAAAAATAGACGCTTCTCGTATTAACCAAGTACTAGTATTTGTGGTTTACTTCAATTCGTCGCTCAATAGCCAGTAAAGGAAGGCCACACTGATGCGAATATGCTACGTGATTCCAACTAACCCAATTTTATTCGGGGCAAGCATCGGATTGCGAGAATTATGCATTATCAGATACTCATTCCCTAACTAGTGAAAGCTGGAATACCTGGCTAGACTTGGTTGGTGGTTTAATAGCCTTCGGCATTCGAAGGCGTCCTCCACTCCCCTCAACGTCTTTATCCCGCCTGTTCATCTCCACCAGCTTTAAAGCTTGTTTAACATTTTTTAAAGGCTTACCCATACCTCTTAATACTCTTTCATACGAAAAATCTTCTGTGTCTAATTACTTCATCCTTCATCTCTATATCCATGGAGCAGGGCACGTCCAGTCCGAGCCAAGACTATGAGGTTTTCAATCAAAGTTTTCACAACATGATCAGCGATATCATCAGTAACAGCGCAAGCGGAGAATCTAAAATTGTCTACAAACAAGATGACGGAACCAACGACGATGTGGAGAAGGCGGATAGAAACAAGACGCCAACTTCTGAAACGTCGAAGACAGACCTGAAATCACCTTTACAGATTCCATCCGACCATTCTTCAAAGCCAAAACCGCAAGTGCAGGCAGAAGTTCCACAAGAAACCTCGAATGAGAATGTTGCGACAGATTTAGATGACGCGGATTTGTCGGAAAGCCCAGGAAATCACGAGAATGACAACGAAACAAATACTGAGCCAGGCATGCTGTGCCAGTCTTATAACCTCTATGAAGGAAAGAGTGAATACAGCCAGTGCATTAACTGGGTTGATCAAATTCCATTCGACATGAGGGTGGCTGAAGCCGAAGACAAAAAAGACGGCGCGGCAGTTATAGTGCGCAACCAACTAAATCGGGAGTCTGAAGGAATCAAGAGGAAAACCAAAATCCATTCTATCGTTGTTCAAAGTCCCTTCATCAAGAAGGCTCTCCAGGAAGTGTTACGAGGATATCCTGGTCTGGACCTGGACGAAGAAAAACTTAATTTCAGGTCACCCTTCGAGCCGTTCGTCCACCGTTGGAAACAGTGGCAAAGCGCAATCCAAAAAGAAGGCACAAATTTCGAAGTGAAAGAGCATCTCTCCCTTCTTAATGAGATACTCCGAAACGAGTTAAAGGAGGCACTGGAAAGCATTCGACACTTCGAGATTCATGGAAAAATCACATTCGAGCACCTGTGGTGTATATACAGACCTGGCTCTCTTCTCAGCGACCACGGCGAGGAGGACCGTCGATGTTTATACAGACTCTTAACAGTCAAGCACGTCAAACCCTTCCTTGGGGATGAATTCTACCGTGTAACTGTCAATAGCATTGATTGGGACGGAAAGAGGTTTGGCAATGTTTCAGCATCAGTTCAGCTCCCGGATTTCAAAGGGAGCCGTGGAATTGCTGATTTTGAAGTCTTCCCTCTGGACTATTGCTCGGATCGACAAAGCATTACGCACAAGGTGGTGAGGAGAAGCATGAAGCTTTTAAGCTTATGCGGAACGCACTACCGCGCGTACGCGGCTGTCGCTAAAGATGTGGAAAATAAACCGCTTAATGTTCGTTGGGTATGCCCCGATATGTATTTTGGGCTGACAAAAAGTAGGTGAGAGGTCGAATAGTAATTGATGCTGCTGGATTCGCCTACATCAATCCACAGAATGTTCATCAGCACTCTCCACTATCTATAGAAAGAGATCCCGCCGACAGCGACAATGAGAGCAACGAGCCAGAGGGTGATGGCTATATCATAAGCCAAAGTGAACCTAGACTTGATGAGAACCAATTGCTTATTTGCACATGCTGGATTCGTGGATTTTCAATCGAAGCAAAAAAATGGGGTAACGTCCTCAAAAAAAAACGAAGCTTGCTGCTGCTAATATGTAACTTAGTCCAACTCCTTGTGTTCCATGTTCAGGATATCGCGTGGAATGGGAATGTCTTTGACAAGCTGGTGCTGCCTCTTGGGCAAAAACGGTTGCTCCTTTCATTAGCCAGAACCCAACGAGAAGCAGGGGACACTTTTGATGATGTGATTCGAGGCAAAGGTATCAGTTCCTTAGACTCCAACCTGACACCACGCTCGCTCACATTGTGTTTGCAGGACAGGGAACAATAGTTTTGCTTAATGGTTCACCGGGTGTGGGAAAAACCTTAACAGCAGAGGCTGGTATGATTGTATAAGGTCAACGAAATACGCTTCGCTAACGGTTGTCAAAACAGTTGCCGAAGAAATGAAGGCACCACTATATTCCATCAGTGCCGGAGAGCTTGGTACCCAGCCTGACGTTGTTGAGCAGAGACTGAAGGCCGTTTTTGAGACGGTGCGGAACTGGAGAGCTGTGCTGCTTCTTGACGAAGCAGACATCTTTCTCGAACAGAGGAATGCGCATGACTTGCAGAGGAATAGTCTCGTATCAAGTAAGCCTCAGTATGTTCCCCAAACCAAGTAAGCTACTAAGGTTGCTATTCAGTATTCCTCCAGCGTCTAGAATACTTCAGTGGGACCTTATTCTTGACAACCAATCGTGTCGGTAAGGACAAATTCAACCCATCAGATAAAGCATGCCAAAGCAAGCCAACTGACAGTGCACGATAGAAACATTCGATGCGGCATTTAGCTCGCGGATCCATCTATCATTGACGTATCCTGACCTCGATGTTGCTTCACGGCGCAAAGTATGGTCCAACTTCTTTAGCAACCTTGAGAGAGCAGGGCACAACATTTCGGAAACCCAATTGGATACACTAGCTTCTATCAACATGAATGGTCGTGAAATTAAGAACGCGATGAAGTTGGGAAGCTTCTTGGCTCGGGATGAAGATGGGCCACTTAGCATGGAGCACTTGCGGACCGTCCTGATTGCGATGCAAAAGTGGAAGCTCGAAGAGAGGTCTAAAAGAAGTATATTGAGATCGATTTTCTTTTGATGTAAGGCGTTCAGAGGCAACTTCTATCAAGAGAATTTTGTTCTCCATGCTTCATACCGTGCGTGATGGGGAATAAAATGAAATACAGTCTACCCAGCCAATACAGGGTGGCCAGCACTGCTGCTTTGCAAAACCAGAGAAATTTAGTAAAGAGGATAAGGTCGAGAGAAATATTGACTAACTGACATCCTCAGTTCCGTATCCCGCTTCTCGGCTCTAAGGGCAGAGGTGCAGCTTCATGCATCATGGAGCGCAACAAGGGGAAGCGAGTAGGGCTTTTGCCGGATTCTTCCACCAATATTTTGCGGCCCACTCCACTGCTACCATGCCCATGCACTACATTCTTCTCCTCTTGTACAGCACCTTTAGCCCCACCCTTTCGTGTTTCCGCCTATAATTCCCGACCACGACACCCCACATTCTTGCCGTGCAGCAGTAGCACTTTCAGACTTGTATCATTATTAGGCTTGCATGACTGGCCACCGAAGATTTCCCTTGAAGAAGAAGGTAAGTCTAATTTCTCATGTTGCAGAGATCGTAGGTAGGCACCTTGCGTATATATAAATACCTAGCGAATATAAGGACTAGACAAATTATCAACAGGAGATATAAAATACCTAAGAGTCTTCTGCGCTGGTCGCACTATCTTTTCAGAAACCAAACGCAAAGAGAGCGCGCAGGTCGATGCCGTTCAAGCAAGAACCAAGAGTCTTCCACGCCACCACAAAGCTCCCGCCCCGGCACAGAAAGCCAAAACCAAAAAACAAAAAAGCCCAAACCCCCACTAACCAACAACCCCTCCCTCCACCACCACCAACCTCAGCGCTCCGCGCCGCCAAGGCCCATACACACACCATCAGCCACGCCTACGCCTACGCATCCAGCAACCGCACCCCCAAGCGCGGCACGGAACAGCCCGCCGAGCTAGCCGGGCCAGGCAAGACAGCCGTGCGCGAGGCGCGCCGGCGAAAGGTTAATCGCGAGGTTAATGCGACGACGGCTGTCGTGCGTGCGGGGAGAGGGGTGCGGGGTGCGGTGCGTTTTTGTGGAGTGTGCTTGACTCATGATTTTCGCGGGCATGACTCGTGCCAGGCTGGCTGGCCAGCTCCGGCGTGCTGCGGGCGCGCCGGGTCGCGGTCGTGCCGTGCAGTGCAGACGGAGACGTATGTAGGGCGAGCTGCGGAGGCTAGGGACGGGCACTGGAGCTCTCCCTTCCTCTGGAGCTCTCAGCTCTCAGCTCTCGGGCAGGTCTCACGAATCGGCCGCGACGACCACGGGCGCTCTCCCTCCGCTGGTGGGTACTAGTACCAGCAGCTGGCTCCGAGTCTTAGAGCCATGACGCCTGCTGCGGCCCTGTTTCGCGATGATGAGAATGATGGCAGCCCTAAGATCGGCGATAGCTTGCTCCGATCCGATGCCAGCTTTGCGACGCGGCGATTTGGACAACCACCCACCAAAACGTCTTCGACCACCTTTTCGTAGGTGGTTGCTCGTCCAGTGATTCTTATAGAGTGCGTTGGTGGCATTCGATTCCTACCAATATCAAAGAATTTGCGCGCCCGCGCCCCCCGCGCGAAGCGAGTGCACGGACCAACCCACCATGGAAGACAATATCGAGGTGCAAGGAGGTAGAGTAGTAAAGCGGAAGGCGGTATCGCCGGTCGCAGCATCACCAGCGAGGCTCCTCCGCAGTAGAGTAGGGTCCCTAGAACTTAGGGACAGTGAACGGTACCCCCGTCGGGCCACAGGGCTCGCTGAGGCAGGAATTAAGCATGGGATAGACCAGCTCTTAGACGCGGTCGCCCGACTGGAAAACCTAGCGGAAGAGTAATCTACAGCGATTAGACAGCTCAAGGAGATACTCCTATACCAGGAGACGACCTCCAAGGAGCTTTATGAGACCGTACAGGGCCAGAAAGGCCTTATTGACGCGCTAACGGCAGAGGTTAAAATTCTCCGCTTATCGCAAATTTCCAATGAAACAGCCCGGAAAACGTGGGTAAAGAAGGCTGAGAAAGCGCTCGCGCAGGCCTAGAAACCGGCTACCCGTAGCTATAGCGAGGCGGCGAAGTAAGGGGGTACCTAAACCGCTAGATAGACGCTCGTGGCCCGGTAGGCTAAGCCTACTAAGGCAGGACTATAAACGGACGCCGAATCAGAGGCTACGGTTATAGTAGAAGCGTAGAGAGCTAAGGTAAAGGTAGATTATACTACCCTTAAGGATAAGGTCGCGGTGGCCCTAAAAGCTTATAAGTCGACGGAGATGCTGGAACCCTAGTATATTAGAGCGCGACCAGCTAACCGCTTTAATATTATCTTTAAAGACCGTAAGGAGGCTGAGATGGCGAGAAAGCACCCGTCTTAGGCTAAGGAAGCTATCCTAGGGGCTACGGTACGTAGAGAATAGTGGTTCCTAGTTAAGTGTGATAGTGTTCTTAAAGAACTCGTTATAGCTGAGGACGGGAAAGCTATCACCGAAAAGGCCTTGGAAGCCTTTACTAAGGAGAATAGCTCCCCGGAACTCCCGTGTATAGCTAAAAAAGCAGCGTGGTTATCTAAACTAGGTAGTAAGAAGGAACTAGGCTCTATAGTAGTATAGCTATCCTCCCGTAAAGCGGTGGACCACCTCCTCCGTACCTAGATTATACGGTTCAGGTCGTCCGCGGCCTTTTACTCGGAATTCGAGTAAACTAAGTTCCAGGAGCTCCCGTGTTTTAGATATAACACGTATAGGTATAAACAGAGTTACTATACTCGATCGAAGGTCTCTTACGGAGTATACTCTAGGGAATACTAAACACGCTTCTATAAGAACTAGGCGAACCCTAAATACCCGGCCTGTAAAGGCCCATACGCAGTCTTCGATAGGAAATATACCCTCTACCCGAAGAATAAGACTAGGACTAGGGAGGTCGAGATAACCGACGCCGAGGCGGGAGAACCCTAGCCCGACGCTAGTTAACCCGACCCGGTATCTAGCGAGGCTAGATGTTAAACAACCTTAATATGCTATAGCTAAATATCGGGAAGCGTAGGGAGGCTTAGCTAAGCCTCCTTAACGATACTAAAACGGCACAGTTCGACATTCTAGCTATAACGGAGCCGTACCTTTTCGCCTTCTAAGGCGAGACGCAACCAAGAGTAACTACCCACCAACAGTAGGCGGCCTTTACTCTATCAATTAATAGAGAAGACGGCTATGTCAGGCATAGGTACCGGGCGCTTATATAGGCCCACACGAGAGTACAGGCCTAAGGGATCCCGGTGCAGTCACCCAATATAGCCGCAGTATTACTACGCTCCCAGCGGGGCCTAGTATTAATATTCTTAGTATACATCCCTAGGGATGGCGCTACAGTCTATTAACGCGAAGACCAGTTAGCGGAGCGGGTACAGTTACTACAAGATACTATTAGTAAAACTAAAGAGAAAGAGGGACCGGACCTAAAGATCCTCGTTACAGGGGATTTTAACCGGCACGACCAGCTATAGGGAGGGGACTACGTAGGCGAGGGGGCCCGGTAGGGCGAAGCTATAGGGATCCTAGATTTTCTCTAGGCCTAGTACCTCTAGTCCCTCTTACTACCCGGGACCGTTACCTAGGAACACTAAAGCCTCCGCTCGAGGTCAACGGTAGACTTAGTCCTCGCGTCCCCCGGGATAGCGAATAGGATAGTATACTACTAGATTTATAAGATAGACTACGGGTCCGACTACCGGGCGATCGAGTCACGCTTTAACGTCTCTCTAACTAAGGCTAAGCCGAAGGAAGGGAGGTACCTATTTAAAGACGTAGACTAGGAATAGATCCGATAAAAGTACGGGCTATAGCAGTACCCGCAAGAGCTTAGCTCTACCTAAGAGATCGACACCGCAGCCGAAACGCTAGTATAGGAGGTTTAAGGGGTTATAGAGATATATATCCCGAGGGCCCGCCCTTCTCTATACGCGAAGCGATAGTAGACCCGCGAGCTTACTAACCTACGCTAGTAGGTTACGCAACTACGGAACCGGGCAACGCAAATAAGACGTAAAGGAATCCCAACGGAAGCGATCGTAGAGTAGTTAAAGGCCGCCCGCCGAATCTACTTTAGTAAAATCGACCGCTAGAAGCGGATTTACTAGAAAGAATTCGTTAACGACCCGGCTAGTTTATAGAAAGCTAATAAGTATACGCGAGTAGAAGCGTCCGGGGGCTTAGTTCCTACCCTCTAAAGGGAAGGAGGCGCAGCCGAAACGGACTAAGAGAAAGCCGAGGTGCTACTAGAGAACTTCTTCCTAGTATAGCCCTAACCGAGCTAGGGACTAGAACTAGGTTAGCTATAGGAACTAGTTCGCTAGGCCCCCCTCGGAGACGAGGAGGTCCGACTAGTAGTATTCTAGGCGAACCCGCGAAAAGCCCTAGGAATAGACGGCCTACCCTTTAGGGTCTAGCGGGAACTGTAGCCGATCGTAGGCCAGCGAGTCTATACCCTATATAGGGCGTCTCTTAACATAGGCTACCTACCGAAAGCCTGGCGCACGGCGCGGATCGTTATACTAAGGAAACCTAGGAAACCCGACTACACGACGCTAAAGGCCTATCGCCTAATTTCGCTGCTACCTATAATTAGCAAGGGCCTAGAGGTAGTCGTAGCACGTAGGGTATCCTACCTAGTTAAAAAGTACTCCCTACTCCCTAAAAACTATTTCGGAGCAAGGAGAGGAAGGTCCGGCGAAATAGCACTTAACGTACTTAATAAATAGATCTACGACGCGTAGAGACGCCGTAAGGTACTCTCCCTAGTTACGTTCGACGTATAGGGCGCCTACAATAGCGTTAATAAAGAGGTATTATATTAGAGACTAGTAGAACGCCGCCTTCCTACTACTCTAGTTTAGTAGGTAGATAGCTTTTACAGCGAGCGGAAGGGAGCCGTAATAGTAAACGGATTTATATCCCTACTCTAGGAGATACGCTATCCGGGGTTACCGTAAGGCTCCCCCCTCTCGCTAATTCTATACATCCTATTTAACGCCGGGCTGGTGGACTAACCTATTACTGTAAAAGGCGGAGCCCTTAGCTTTGTAGACAATTACACGGTATAGGTCGTAGGTCCGTCGATTAGCTATAATATGGACCGCCTCTAGTAGGAGGTTATACTATAAGCCGAGCAATAGGCGGAAAGCAGCGGAGCTACGTTCGATAGGGGAAAAACGTACCTTATCTACTTTACGCGTCTAGACCGGACAAGAGACGCCCCGCCTAAGGACCTCTAATTTAAAGGTAGGGAACTTAAAGCCGAAAAAGAGGTTAAAATCCTAGGGGTCCTCCTAGACGAGAAGCTAAAAATAAACGTATATATAGCCGCGGTTACAGCTAGTGCGCTTAAAAAGGGCCTCGCTATAAGGAGACTTAAAGGGGTTCGCCCGCGGGGTATACGGCAGCTCTTCTAAGTAGTAGTATACCCGACTATAGATTACGTAGCCTTAGTATAGTATAGCCTAGGAAGGCTAGGAATAGGCCGGCTTATCGCGTAGCTGGAACGAATCTAACGCCTTAGGGCCTAATCGATTATTAGGGCCTTCCGCACGGTAGCGGTATTAGTCGCCTAGGTAGAAGCCGGCCTCGTACCGGTAGAGACCCGCCTTCGGGCTAAAGTCTCTAAACACCTCGCCGGGGTATACTCGTTGCCTAGTACTAATCCGCTAAGGGAATGTATTACCCGATAGGCTAATTAGAGGGACGTGTTCTTATCGCCTCTTTAGCAGATAGGACTACGGTACGGGGACCTAATCGCCCCTACCCGCGCCCCCTAGATGGAGACGGTGTAGCTATGGGAAGAACCCCCCTAGAGGACTAGATAAGTAGATATTACCTTCCTCGATAAAGCTGAGGCGGGGAGGTATATAAACGAAAATAGGGACATCGTATAGACGGACGGGTCCGTGCGGAATAGACTGGTAGGAGTAGCGGCGGTAAGGATGTTACGGGGAAAACTATTTACCGTCCGGGCCGAGACGATCGGACGGAGTAAATCCGTCCTAATCTGGGCTGTAGAGCTCTAAGCTATCGCGTAGGCGATTAAGGATATTAAGGATAGGAGAATAGGGATGATAGAGGTGAGAATAAGAGTAGAGAAGGATAGGAGAGTACCGTGGATTAATAGATATACGGTATAGGTAATCTCGGATAGTAGAGTCGCCCTTAGGCGTATAGAGAAAGCCGACCCCTAGGGGTCGGGTTAGTGGCTGGCCGGCAAGATTAGGCGGAGAGTAGAGTCTTGTCGGGCTAAAGGAGTGGATATTAAATTTACGTAGATCTAAGTATATACCGGAAGTATAGGAAACGTCGCCGCCGATAGTATAGCGAAAGAGACTACGAGGCAGGGCCTAGCCCCGACGCTTCCCTTTAAGGAGAGGCGGAGGTGCAGGGCGAGCGTTCTTAGCCTACTTTAGTAGAAGATTAAGGAAGAGCGGGGAGTAGCGGAAGCTAGACCTATACTATAGGGCGGGTATCTACGTCGACTAGATGCCGCCTTTCTAGGTAAGCACTAGCCGTAGTTATATCTAGGCCTTAGGGCGGAACAGGCCAACGCCCTCGCTTAGTATAGGATAAACTATACACACCTATAGGCTTACCTCTCCTAGATTAAGAGAGCGGAGTCGGTAAAGTGCTAGTGTAGACTAGCGGAGGAGATAGTTTAACACCTTATTCTTATATATCCCCTATAGGCGTACCTGCGAACGGAAATCCGCTCGGTAGTAGGGAACCGATAGGGAGATATATCCTTTCTACTAGGGGGGAGAAGTAGAGCGGAGGATAGGTAGACTAGGAAACTAGTAGATAGGCTAAGGGAAAGTTAGAAACTAAGCGTTAAGATAGTCTAGGCAGTAGTATAGTTTCTACTCGCTACAGGCCGGTTCTCTAGCCAGCAGGCCCTCTAAAAAAGGGCAGGATTTCTTTATATATAGGCGTTTAGGTAAGACTAAGAAGTGTTATGTTTATAGTAGGTTACGTAAGGATAGCTTATAGGTCCTATAGAGACCTGCATAGCTTATAGAAATTAATTAATTAATTAATTAATTAAGTAATTAATCGGGCAGATCCGAACTTACTAACTAAGGCCCGACCCGGGCTAATACTACTAGCAAAAGAAGGCGCATAGTACACATAATACCTTATCGTAGTAGTAAAGCCTGTACCGCCTTAGCGCGGCCGTAAGGCTAGGCTCTATTACAATAGCGTCCACGCCTACTAGACGTAAATTCTCTTACCGGTGGTTAAAGCGCAGACTTAGCACAGCGTCTAAACTATAGCTTTAAACCCTAGTACCGAATCACGTGTACGACGCCAGTCAACGTCTACTCTACTAAGCACAACTAGAATCACCCGGTCCCAATTAGCTGCTCCCTATAAGAACACAAGAGAGAGACGCTACGAGGCGAGCCGCAGGCTTAACTAGGATATAGAAGACGAAGTTTACGTAATCTCTATATAAGACGGCAGCTCTAATAGCCACACCACACAGTCTACACCAGCAACCCCTCAAGCTAAGACTAACGTAAACAATAAAATACTAGCCCTACTAGTATCCCAACAGCAAGAGGTTATCTAACTCCTCTAAAAGGAAAGAGCCGAGGCCAAGAAGGAACACCAAGATCTTACTACAATAGTTCAAAACCTAGCTAAGCAAGTTAAAAAACTCGAAAGTAAGCTTCAGTCTCAGGCCGTAACAAACCAAAGCCAACCCCTAACCTAGGCAACAGTTACAGCCTACGGTATACCTCAAACACTACTAGCGTACAACAGACAATCGGGTAATAACCCTACGATAATACTCATCGACGTCCTACTAACAGGCCCCGACTAGACCTCAGCTAACGGCTTCACCCGAAACCTACCTACTCTAATAGTAGTAAACCTCATATCCGAGGCACTTAAGAGCCAGGAACTAACCAAGCAAATAGAGGTTCTAGGAGCAAAAGCAACAAGACAAGAATACCTCATCCGCTTTAAAACCGGGGAAGCCAAACAGTTAGCCATCCAGAACTAGGAATAGACTATAGTATTAGGAAAAGACATAAAGATCAACCGCCTAAGGTTTAGAGTAGTAGTCCACCGTACTCCAACAGGCGAAGTCCAGATAGAAGAAAAGAAAGAAGCGATCTAAAAGATTACCCGTAAAAATAAGCTTCTAGATATAAACTTCAAGATTAAAGATATAGCCTAGATAAAAAAGAAAGACACCCCGCTCGGCCACTACGCGTCCCTAGGTATCTAGTTTAACACCGAAGAAGCAGCC